TCAATGACACGGAATGTTTAGGTTGCTTTGGTAAGATGGCCTCTTTCACAGTGTAAATTCTTTCAGTCCCTGTGCATGGGAGGTCTTTCCTGTATTTCCCAGTAGCATTTTGTTTGTTTGTTTTGTTTTTTCAGTGTTTTAAATTTTCATTAGACAGGTGTTATACTCCCTTGGTTAGGTCTTTTTAAAGATATTTTACTTTTTATTGAGGCAGTTGAGAATGTAGTTTTGTGTGTGTTTCTCAACATGTTTGTTACTAGAATGCAAGAATCCTAATTTTCTATAATAATTTTGTGTAACTGTGTGTGCAAGGCTGGCCTTGAACTCTTGATCTTCCTACTTCTTCCTCTTTTGTATGTTCTACAGTTTAAGCCACTACAATTGGCTCTGTGTTAATTTTGTAGACTGCTACTTCTCTGAAACTTCTCAGCATTTTCTTTAGGGTCATTTATATATAGACTCACATGATCTGTAAGAAAGAATGCTTTGGTACCTTCATTTTCTGTTTGTTCTCCTGCTACTTCCTTCTCTTGTCTTACTGCTTTAAGACTTCTAAGTGCTGTATTGAATAAGAAAGGAAAAATGGGCACTCTGTCTTCTTCCTGAGCTAGTGCGGGTGCTTAGGTTCTCCACTTCCAGTGATGTTGACCATACAGTTTGTCATATATGGCCTTAAGTGTGTTGATATATTTTTTGTTAAGATTTTTCTGCATCTATTGATGTGATTATATGATTTCTTATAGTCAGTTGATTTGTATATGTTGAACCATTCTAACTACTGGTGTTAGAAAGTCAACTTGATCATGGTGAATAATCTTTTTGACATGTATTTGATGAGCCTGAGTGTTTTATTGAGAATTTTTACATCTTTGTTCATCAGGAAGATTGATCTCTACTTGTTGTTATGTCTTCATCTGGCTTTGGTGTCAGGGTAATACTAGCTTTGAAAAAAGAGTTCAGAGGTGTTTGTTTTCTGTTTCATGGAGTAATTGAGAAGAGTTGGCTTTAAGATTTATTTATTTTATTTTTTGTATATGACTGTTTTGCCTGAATGTATGTATCTGTACAATGTGCATATCAGGGTCCCTTGGAAGTTAGAAGAAGACATTAGAGCTGGGTGGTGGTGGTACACCCCTTTAATCCCAGCACATGGGAGGCAGAGATCTCTTGAGTTCAAAATCAGCCTGTCTACAGAGTGAGTTCTAGGACAGCCAAGGCTACATGGAGAAACCTGTCTTAAAAAAAAAAAAAAAAAAAAAAGGAGGGGGGATAGGAGTAGGAGGAGGGGAAGAAGGAGGCGGCACTAGATCCATTGGAACTAGAGTTGCAAATGGTTGTGAACCACCCTGTGAGCGCCGGGAATTAAACCTGGGTTTCCTGCAAGAGCACTCAGTGTTCTTAACTGCTGATGCAAGAATTCTGACCTCAAACTGGTCTCCTGTCTGCCTCTGCCTCTGGAGTGCTGGGATTAAATATGTGTGCTACCACTCTTGATTTTGACTATAGAGCTTAAAAAAAGTCTAGGATAAACTAAAGGTATTTGAGTTACCACTCAAATTTTGGAATTTTACAAGATGAGTATTTTTCTGGAACATTTTTTGTGGCTTGATAGTGTAGATTTGAACTTTCTAACTCGGTTCAGTAAAATTTGTATCACATAATGTGTCTTCTCTGATCAGATCCATAAGGGGCTTTGCTCCTAAAAGGTATTAGCAGCCCTGAGGTGCTAAGGCTCTGTTTGTGTTGCTCCAACTCATCTGTGCCTGCTGAACAGGCACATGGAGCTCTACTCTCAGCCCTGTTGTGTGGAGGTATAAACATTTGTTTTTATGTTTTGAAAGAATATATTGTTTTTCATTTAGTTACCAGTGTTTCTTTGTTATATGAGTTATTAAACTATTTTGTGACATTTCATGTACATGAAGTTCCTTTAAAATGTTCTTGTAGTTTTTTGGTGAGATTTGATTTTTTAAGATTCTACCTTTTATGGCCATGCTATAGAGTATGTGTTAGTTTGGTAGAAAACTAGAAATGCTCCACAAGGAGAGCAACAGAACAAGATAATTTGAACACAGGGAACTTCCCAGAGACTCATACTCCAACCAAGGACTATTCGTGGAGATGACCTGGAACCCCTGCACAGGTGTAGCCCATGGCAGTTCAGTGTCCAAGTGGGTTACATAGTAATGGGAAGAGGGACTGCCTCTGACATAATCTGATTGGCCTGCTCGTTGATCACTTCCCCCTGAGGGGGGAGCAGCCTTACCAGGCCACAGTAGAGGACAATGCAGCCACTTTTGATGAGAACTGATAGACTAAGATCAGAAAGAAGAGGAGAACCTCCCCTATCAGTGGACTTGGGGAGTGGCATGCATGCAGAAAGGGGAGGGAGGGTGGGATCGGCAGGGGAGGAGGGAGGGGCTTATGGGGGAAAAATAAAAAAATAAAAAAATAAATAAAAAAAAGAAAACTAGAAATGGTTAGGTATTTATTAGACTTTCTACATCGTGATTATGTTCCTTGTGTTTTCCTAGGCTTGTTAAAGTTTTGCACCGTAGGATTTTGTGGAATTGGGAGCCTAATTGATTTCGTTCTTATTTCAATGCAGGTAAGTTAGTTTCTGTCTGGAACATGAACTGCCTTTTCAATCAGCGTGGCGTTTGGTGGTCTCTGTTGGTGTGTGTGACACTGCAGCTACATTAGGAAGCAAATGGCATGCTTTACAGCTTGTCTGCAGAAGCTGGGCCTGTGATTTTCAGTAAACATTTCTCAAACTGTAGCTCCAAAAGCTTTTATAGAACTGTTATTTCAAAAAGGACTGCATGTTCAAAGGTGACTGTAGATACCAGGCCCAAGTGAGTGAGAGATTTCCTTACTGAAGAATTTTCTGAAATCTTTATAATTTTACAACAGATTTTATAATGAGTCTCAAAGGCAGGTTACAATAATTTCTCCAACTTAACATGTATTTTCCTGATAGTCATGATCATCTTGTCAGTTCCGGACACATTGATGGGACTCTGGGACACACACCAACATGCTGGAGGCAGAAGTAAGATTTTCTTTCGAAGTGCACAGGCATGCTCTACAAATTACACTCAGTGCAGTTGACAGAAATTATAATCTAGCTCATTTACTGGGTGAAGAACAAAGGAATGTGTGGGTATTCTGCATGGTTTCTAGAACAGCCTCAAGCAAGACCTAATCCATATAGAATCTGTGTTCCTTTGTCTCCCTGTGATAGTCTCATCCTCTCATGATATAGTGGGTCTAGGTGACTGGCACAGTTTAGGAGATGCTGTCCTTAAGCACTAAAAGTTGCCACCAGATGTTTTCTACTAAATACTAAGCTGGTTGTGAGTACTCTTGAAGCTAAGTTAGAGGCAAGGGTGAATATTGCCAAACAGCACTTCGGCAAGCACTTACGGAGCACCTACTGTCCTCACTGAGTGTCAGTGTGCATTAAGATCATTATGTCTTGCTCTGCCTTCTCACTCAGCCTTGCCACTCTTCAGTGCTGGCTGCTGCAGCTATTTTCATGTTTTAGAGCCCGTCACTCTCAGTGATTTTGACACTACAGTATGAGGAGGGGCCAGCATACAGACCAAGAATTAAACAAGGAAATTAATACAAGAATTAAACAAGGAAAATATTTGGTTTTGAAGTTAGAATTTTCCTGCCTTTACACACAAGGCAAATACCTAGTCAGATACCCTGTCTTCTCTAGCTGTGGAACAGGTGTCTGCATGAGGAAAGAAAGGCTCCTATGCACATAGGTGTAACGATGGACTTCTCATTTTAAATGAAGATAAAATGAATTTATGTTTTATTGGTATTGTTAAAATGAAAATATCCAAAATTTGATATTTCTTGTTTGTTTTTATTTTGAGACAGAGTATCACTTAGCAAAGGCTAGCTGAGAACTTCCTGCCTCTGCCTCTAGAGTGGGAGATAGATTAGGAAATGTTGGGTTTTTTATTTTGTTTTGTTAGGATAAAAATATTTTGATTGTATTAAAACCTCTTCCATTTGTAAATAATCAAAGTATTTCAAACAGAATCACTAATGTGTATTCCGGCAAACCAAAAATAAAGTTTCTGCTGTTAAAACAGAAGTTGCAGGTTTGGGGCTGGAGAGATGACTCAGTGGTTAAGGGCACTGTCTGCTCTTCCAAAGGACCTAGGTTCAATTCCAGCACCCACATGGCAACTCACAACCATCTGTACGTCAGTTCCACGGGATCTATCACCTTCACCCTTATGCACATAAAGTAGAAATGAATTAAAAAAAAAAAAAAGAAGTTGCAGGTTCAAGCAAGGAGAGAAGCTAAAAGTGGTAGCTTACTAAACAGTGTTGCTTTGCCATTAGGAACTTAGTGCATTGGGCTGCTAGAACAAAACACCTTAGAATGGGTCATTTGTTTTATTTATTTTATTATCTTATCTGTGTTTGGTGTTTTATGGATGTGTGGGCATATGGTGGTCCGAGGGTAACGTCATGTAGCCAGTTCTCCCCTTCTACCTTTACGTCGACTCTGGAGATCAGACTTGGGTCTCCGGGCACATCCTTTACCTGCCTCCTGAGCCATCTTGCTGACCCTTTTTGGTGTTTTGTTTTGTTTTGTGAAGACAGAGTATGTATCCCATCCTGGCCTGGAACAGCCCAGTCCTGTCAAAACACCCACCTCTTCAATCCAACACACTGGGGATTACATGTAAGGGGCACGTTCATATTGTAACAGTCCTTAGGTAAGATTTCAAAGTTTATAGACTTATAGGATCAATGAATAAAAAAGAAAGCTGATGTGATAAACTCTGCAGCCTGGGCGAGGTGGTGGCTTAACAGATAGAAGCACCTGCTTCTAAGCCTGAGACCTGTGTTCAATTCCTGGAGCCCACGTAAAGGTGGAAGGAGAGAACCAGCGCCCACAAGTTTTCTTCTGATTTCTACACGTGTCCTTCCCACACAAAATGAGTGTAATTAGGTATGAATAAATACATTTTCTGCAGTGGGTATGACGCCGTTCTGTGGGCGGGTTTCGTGAGCACTGCTCAGGTGTAATAAGTTGAGCCTTTGCCTTAGAGGACTCTTCAATCTAACCAGCTCAAAAAGCCTTTGATAATAAGTTCTACTCTTTATCAGAAATACTTCCTTAGGAATGGAGGCTTCAGATAAACTTGATTTTTGAGGCAGATATGGTGGCTCACACCTGTAATCCCAGCCCTTGGGAAGTTGAAGCAGGAGTTTGAAGCCAGCCTGAACTACACAGTAAGTTCAGGACAATTTGTCTCAAAACAAACAATCAAAAATGTTGATTTCATTTTGAATAAATTTTTTCAATTTAGCTAAAATGTTCAATACCCTATGTTTTTTAGTTTATCTTAGAACATAAATGATGTCAGAGCCATGGGTTACCTTTGGGGAAATAGTCTGTTCTGTGAAATACCCTGATTACACTCAGCCTTTGACATGCACACTTTTTTTTTTATTTAACTTTTATTAATTACACTTTATTCATTTTGTATCCCCCCATAAGCCCCTCCCTTCTCCCCTCCCGATCCCACCCTCCCTCCCCTTTCTGCATGCATGCCCCTCCCCAAGTCCACTGATAGGTGAGGTCCTTCTCTCCTTCTTTCTGATCTTAGTCTATCAGTTCTTATCGGAAGTGGCTGCATTGTCATCTTCTGTGGCCTGGTAAGGCTGCTCCCCCCTCAGGGAGAGGTGATCAAAGAGCAGGCCAATCAGATTATGTCAGAGGCAGTCCCTGTTCCCATTACTATGGAACCCACTTGGACACTGAACTGCCATGGGCTACATCTGTGCAGGGGTTCTAGGTTATCTCCATGAATAGTCCTTGGTTGGAGTATGAGTCTCTGGGAAGTTCCCTGTGTTCAAATTTTCTTGTTCTGTTGCTCTCCTTGTGGAGTTCCTGTCCTCTCCAGCTCTTGCTATTTGACATGCACACTTTTGCCTAAAGGAGAGCTAAATGTGCTCCCTCCTAAATCTGTCAGTGCTGGAGCGTGGACCAGCTTACTTAGTGGGTCCTTGCTGTGGGACACCAGTGCAGAAAAGCACAAGACTGTAAATGCCAAATCTGTCCAGGTGTTCTCATATTGCTCTTTAACCCTGGTGTCATTTACTGAGGGAAGTATATGGGAAACTGAGGTGAATAATACGCGCTGCTTCTGCTCTGATTTTATTAGGTAGATTTCGGTTCACCTACCTCGTGGGGGCATTCATTGCCTTAATACCAAGTGTTTAAAACTGGTCTAACTAGTCCCTAAGCTGTGTTTTCCTCAGGAGACATCATGGTGTTACTGCTTAAAAAGTAATATTTATATTAGTCATTTAGATTAAAAGTACCAGTTGTTAAAAGCAATGAAATGGTCCAAATCTATAAATTCTGGTCCTTGTGTATGATGCTAATTAAAATGTGACCCTGGTAAGATGTGTTTCATGCCCTTATATACAAAAGAAACTTGCAGAGAAATCAGTATGGACACAAAAGAACTCTACTTGTCTGGGGCATCAGGATGCACATGGCTGCAGTATTGTCATAGATTGTAGATTGCTGAGTCAGTTGCTTTGTCGCCCTGTGAGATAACTTGATCTGGTCAGTATATTGTTCTGTCAGTATTAATATTTTCAGTCTCTTTATGGAGAAAGCTAGAGTAGAAAAAAAAAAGAAAAAGGTATGTTGTCTCATGACTGTAATGTCAGCATCAAGGAGTTGAGGCAAAATGATCTTGAGTTGAAGGCTAACCAGGGCTACAAAGCGAATCCCAGAACAGCCTGGGCCACACAGTGAAATCCTCTTTCAACAAAACAAACACATAATCAGACAATAAAACCAAGTTGTGTATAATGGCACACTTGTTTAATCCTAATGCGTGAGAGGTTGAAGCCAGAGGATTAGGAATTCTAGAACAGGATGGCCATATGAGATCATGCCTCAAATAAAGGAAAAAGGAAAATAATTAGTCCTTATCTATTCATTTGTATGTGGTTCTTTCTCTATAAAAGCTCTGCCACTGACCTACACATCAGCAGTCCTTTTCTGAATCCATCAGGACACTTTAAGTCTACAGAGTGGTTGTTCTCTGAGAAGCCTGGTGTCAACAACAGTGTAGTCCATTAACTGGGGGACATATGTTGCTAAAGTTTAGGTAATAAAGGGCCTAGTGGTATGTAGCTGACCTTTGTATTTTATGGGTCCTTCTTTTTCCTACCCTTTATCCTCCCCACTCCCCCCACCTCAGTCTCACCCCTTACTACCAGATAGGAGAGAATCAAGAATAGAGGGGAGAGAAGAATTAGGAAAATCCCTGAATCTAATTTCTTTCCTTTTAACCATGGCTACTAACAAACTGCAACCAACCTCCCTAAGTGACCAACAATCATTGACCCTATCTCTCCCGGCCCTCGCGTTTATGTACCACCTGAAAAGTTCACAGAATTCCAAACGTCACACAATTGCAGTAGGCAAAACCACGTTTCTACTAGAGCATGAGGCAAATCATGGTCAGCTGCTGTGGACTGTCTGAAGCAGCCCCACATCCCTACATCTGGGATTAAAACAAAAGCAGATTCCTATAATATTTCTCTGTG